AGTCCCTGTGAATGCCGTTCAGGGCCTGTCTGTACGCTGTCGGGTCCAGAGGTTGCTTAATGAACCTCTGGACTTCGTCCGTCAGTTCATATAGATGCCTCCTGACGTGCCTAGGCGAGGGCTCCTCTGCAAGCAGCTGTCTGCTTGGGTGGCCACTTCTGTGGCTCCCGATCAGGAACTGCTTGCAGAGCATTATATTATACTCCTTAACTGGGAGCATTTGCGCCTCGCCGTGCAAGTGGTGTTCGGGCGACATCAAGAGGCATCCCGTCGCTGTCCTAAGGGCCGTATTTTGTACCGTCTGTAGCTTCGTCCACTGCGTCCTACTAGTCCCTGGCGACCACACTGGCGCTGCGTAGTTCAAAACCGGCCGGCCTATTGCCTTGTATGTTGCCAGCAACGTTTCTTTGTCTTTGCCCCAAGTACTGCCGGCTAGCGACTTGAGGACCTTGTTGCGGCTCTGTACTTTATTGACAATAGCGGTTGAGTGCGCAGAGAAGGAGAGCAGGCTGTCGAATGTTACTCCGAGTATTTTGGGGTTATTCACCGTCGGAATTGGTGTGTCATCGACGTGAATCCCCAGCGGTAGCCTGACCTCCTTCGTCCAGGTTGTGAACAGGGTCGCGGAGGATTTCGTAGGGGAGAGGCCTAGACACTTTGCAGTGAAGAAGCGAGAAAGTTCGGAGAGATAGCCGTTTACTTTCGAACACAGGTCATCAATTCCATTCCCAGTCGCCATGATCGAGCAATCGTCGGCATAGGAGACAATCGAGACTCCCTCTGGTGGTTGAGGGAGCTTTGAAATATAAAAGTTAAACAGTAGCGGGGAAAGGACACCACCCTGAGGAACCCCCTGTTTTATTTTTCGCTGCTTACTCGTTTTGTCTCTAAATATTACCGACGAATGTCTACCACTCAGATAATTTGCCGACCACCGTTTGAGCCTCTGTGGGAGAGAGGAGGCCTCTATATCTTCTAGTAGCGTGGAATGGCAGACGGTGTCAAACGCCTTTGACAAGTCCAACGCTACTAGAATCGTTCTCTCACAGGGACGGTTACGGTTAAGGCCACGAGTTATCTGAGTGTTTATGGCGTTAAGTGCTGTTGTTGTACTGTGCACTTTACGGAAACCATGCTGATGCTTCGCTGGGGTCAGGTGGTTTGTGAAGTACGGGAGTAGCAAGGCCTCGAGTGTCTTCGCTACCGGGGAAAGGAGTGTAATCGGACGATACGAATCTCCTTTGTTGGCGGGTTTCCCCGGTTTGAGCAGTGGGACCACTCTCCCCACCTTCCAGATGTCTGGGATGATGAGAGTGGCCATTGACAGGTTGAGGACCTCCGTTAGGTACGCTACCCCCGCAGGACCCAAATTTTTCAGCATCCGCATGCATATTCCGTCTGGACCCATGGCTTTGGAGGCTTTCGCCTTCCCGATGGCCACCTGAACTTCACCGCAAGTGAAAGCAAGGGGGGCACAAGTTGTTGGCAGTTTGTGCAGCCTTCTGGTCACTCGACGCTTGGCTTTGTCCACCGGAGGATGCAGTATGAGCTGCCGGCTAAAATAGCTCGCGCATCGCTCCGGGTCCGTCGAAGCATGGTCGCCGAAGGAAATTGAAGTACGGGAACAAAAAAACCATTTTTCCTGTCAAAAGTCAACCAGTGATTGCTTGACACTTTTCATGATTTTACCAGAAGAAAAAGTTCGGGTAAAATCTTGCAACTTCATTCTCTACACAACTCTCCAAAAGTCGCTCTCATTTACAGGATTTTGGAGAATTTCGGAGTACGGGAACATTTTTCCTGCAACTTCCTGCAAGTTCGTGCAAAATCCTGTAAGTTCATGGAGTACTGGATCAGAGCTAAAGTTGATCGGAAACGTAACAAAAGCTAAATGACAATTAAATAACAATCAAAAATTAAACGTATGTAAGTGCCGTTTAAATATTCATCGGAAATTGGCCCCAAAACTTGTAAAGACACATGGTTTTTATATGTGGTGCAATCACACTATACGCAATAAGGCCATATATACTATGTTTGTGCGTAGGCAAATTCACGAAATCATTTCATGAATTTGGGCTAAAATATGCTGCATAAACACAATATCATGAATACAACTATACACGAAAATCGGAGAAATCTGACCAATTCTTTTGTTTTGATAATTTTTATGAAGTAAAGAAACAATTCACAGGTACATAAATAAATGAGATGAAAATGTTGATATTTCAGATTTCTATTAATTATAGCAATAATCGGTTATAAGGCTTTGAGGACTTTTTTTTTTGACTGGTGACTTGGTGACTTTTCATAAAGCGCCGTTCATCCTCCTTCGTTTAGGGGGCGTTTGGGGGTAGGGACCAAAATAAAGTCGCGAGTAGTCAAAACTAATTTTTAGGCGCTAAGAAACAAAAAAGAACAAAAATAAGTTGTTGGCCTCAGGTGACCAAAATTGTAAAATGACATTGCTACTGAACGATCAAAATTCTAAAAAGGCTTTGGCAGCCAACGTGTTAAATCGCTTTGTTTGGCTCGTTTCCGGTCGTGATCTAAGCGTCGTACCTAAAAAAGATTCTTACAAAAGTTGTGGAGAATGAAACTTTATCATTTGAATATGCTAAGTATTTTCAACAGAAATTGTTCTAAAAAGGCGAAAACCGTTGCAATGTAAATTTGTTTCGAACTTTTTGCTAATTATTTATTTACAGTAAAAAATGTTTTTTTTTTTAACCTAATATATAAACATTTTGCTAATTATTTATTTACAGTAAAAAATGTTTTTTTTTTTTTTTAAATAATATATAAAAAATGTGATACTCTACAAACTTGTATTTTTTACGAAAAATTCAAAAATTCGCATGAAAATCGCATAAAAACCAACCAACACCTAAAATCCAAGATGGCAGAATGTTGCTATATGAAATTTAGGGGCGAGACTGGATCCATAATCTTCCGTTAAAAAATTGCTACTACAAATTATTTTTTCTTTCGCACCAATTTGATCTATTTTTACTGGGCTTTATTACAAAAATTTAAATTATTTAAAATATTCGTAAGAAAGGTGAATAAATTTCAATTTTTTTGTATATACAGTATTGGCCATATCTACAGTACCCCCATTTCAAAGTGATGTGGTTTGCCACTTATCCTTAATTATTAATTTTTAAGAATTATGCCGCTGTGGTGTAGTGGTAAGCAGTGAGATCGGAGGAGAGGCTCGGCCAAACAAAGCGCCAATCTATTATTATTATTATTATTATTATTATGAACTAAAATACAGCTTATTGTCTAACAAAACCCATATAAGCCCAAGTTTTAAACTTTGTAAAATACTACAAAAAAATTCAACAAATTTTCCCATAAATTTGCAACTGTTTTTCCGAATATTAGAATTTTTTTGAGTACTCATTCAATTTTAATCTGATAATGTGCAAGTTTCAAGTGGTTAAAAATAACCGTTGATTTTTTAACAGGGATTATTTTTATATGGAAAAAACCGCAACACCTTCGACGAAAAAAATTCCAAAAAAATCAATGGTAAATTTTAGCCACTTGAAAACTCTAACACTTCTGAGAAAAAAGTTTGAAATTTAGATCAAAATTTGTTGCACTTTTTTGAAGATTTCTACAAATTGTTCAACTTGGGTTTATATGGGGTTTGTTAGAGAAAGAACTGTATTTTAATTGAAAATTCTCAAAAATAAATAAATAAACATAAGTTGCACACAATATCACTTTGAAATGGCGTGCTATAGATATGACCGATACTGTACATATAGGCATATTTTGTCAAAAAATCATTTTTAATTGCATTTGATATTAAACGCCGTTTGTCTTTAATGGACGATCCACTCCATAATTGCAAGAGCAGTTGATGTTTCCATGCAACAATTGGGTACTGATTTTGTCGCAAAATTATTTTAATGACACTTGTTTCAAAATTTTCTTTTTGATGGGGAATAGCATCTAGATGCTCTACGGGCATTTTAGTTTTCTTCCAGTTCATAATATATACCATACACAATAGATGCGATCCCGTACGAGTCCGGATTAGTCAGAATCAGTCAGATTTTGGACTTTTGGAAATCGATCCCGTACTCGGTTCTCTGACTATTGAGAGGACAAAAAAGAGAGTAAATACGGTTCTTTCTCTGTCAGAAGTTACCAGTTTTAGTCCGAGAATTTTTTGCTGGTAAATCCTGGTAAATGTGTCAAACGATCAGCTGTAGTGTGTTTGGCAACCAATTGTAAACAAAAGAAAAGTGCACTCTGCTAATTCATGTCGAAAAGTATTTAATTACTTGTTTAAGTGGATTCTAATTAATTTGAAAGTATTTTTGGTTACTTACATGTGTGAGCTGAGTGTGTTTACATACAAAATAAGCAAAAATTTAAAACCAAAATTTGGAGATTATGTTGAAGTCGACAGAAGTTACCATTTTTTACTAGAATGCGATCTCGTACTTTTCAATGTTACTCTCTCGCTCTGAGCGAATTTTTATTTTTTGATAGTTTTACTAGTTTTTGATCAAACGTCAACATGGCGGGCAGAAAATCAAAAAATTTTGATTTTTGTTGTTGTTGTTTGACAAGCCGTAGAGGCTCGCTAGTAAGTGATGCCCAAAATATCTAGAAATAATTTTTGAAATAATGTTTTTTGAAGTTAAAAACCACTTTTTAGTTTCTTCAAAGAATATAGTAGCTTCAATTTAAAGGAAAACGTCAAAAGCACAGTTTACGTCAAATGGGAACAATGGTGGATAAAAAGAAGAGAAACTACCTTTAAATATTTGTTTTCATGGGAAAGGGATATTTCGCTTGGTTTATCAAGTCGCTTGTGTGGTGTTTTTTGCTCTTAAGCACATCTCGTCGCCTGGGTAAAAGAGTGTCGTATGTTACGCATGTACATCTTTTACCCAGGCGACGATCTGCATTTGCTGATAAATATTCAAAATTTTATCGATCATTTTTCTCATTCCATCGTTGTATTTTCAACTTACTTTGAACTTGCAAAATCTTGGTAACGAATGGAGAACACGCATTGTTCAATCATAAGGATATCCATATTGATTCTTCATTAGATCAAGAAAATTATAGGAAAAAAGTTTTGGAATTAAAAGATTTTTCAGATTCCCAATTAAAAAGAATTATATCTGCATTACTAATATAGCCCTTTTCTAATGCTTCAGTAGAACGTATATTTAGTAAATTAAAAATGTGTAGGACTGACTTGAGGCCCATATTGAGCACTGATATAGTTGCAGCAATAGGTGCGTTCGTTTAAAATCTCCAGTAAAAACCAACCAACTGCCAAATTCCGGAGAAATGTCATCTGTTCTCTCACAAGAGAAAAATATCCCAAATAGTACGCGAACAGAAAATTTGCAGAAACTTCCAAGTTAGACGAACAGCTGATATAATTTTTGTTTACATTCAAAAGTGTAAAATTTAAAACTTTCGAAAATTCGTCACAAAGTGGTATCCTGACACAGTTTATTGATTAAACAAATAACTACTTTCTTCTTACAAGTTAAATTAGTCACATTTTGTAATTTTTAACTTCCAAACCATCAAATTCAAATTTGTGATTTGCGTAAATTCAAACCAGCTGTTTTTGATCAGCTGTTTTCCTGTTGGCAAATTTCTGTTGGCAAAAATTTTTCCAGCAGAAACTAGCAGCTTCCCCTCAAAATGAAATGTCACTTTGCTCTCTCAATTTCCCCTACTTTGCAAGTTTTTTGCGTACGCGAACGCAAAAACTTGTAAGTTTTGGTTAAACATGAACAATTAACAGCTACGCGAACGCACCTAATATTGCATACAAAGCAAGGCATACAAAATAACGGTGATACTTTGTTTGAGCCGCAAGAACAAATGTACCAATTGAATTTAGGGATGTAATTAATTTTTATACTAAGTACCTGTAAATAGTATGCAGTACACAATACTCATATCTGTAATAAGAAAATTTTGAGTAATTTGTTCGGATTTGGAGGATTTTTCATTTGTTTTTGAGGAATTTGGCAATTTCTGGCATAAATGCAGTTGGGCTCCAAATCTCAAATTAAAAAAAAATATTGGAATCGATAGAGATGATTGAGCTGAGTATAACGGTACACTTCTTTTTTTGGGAAAACAACAACAACAAGAATTATCAAAGGTTAAAGTTCAAAAAAAAGCAATTTTTGAAATCAAGATTTCTCAAAAACGAATAAATGAAATTTTGATATCATTGAATGAAATTTTTATCTCATTTAAAAGAAAATTTGATTCCCTTTAATTTGGTATACGTACTTTATATATATGTTGTATAGTTCTTACGAAAATTGAATTAATGTAAGATAATTATAAAAAAAAGCTTACAAGCCCTAAGTGCGGCCGAAGGCCGCCTACGCAGAAAGGTGTTCTCTGCAAAAGGTGTTTTTTTTTTATAATTATTTTACATTAATTAAATTTTTGTAAGAACTATACTACATATATATATATATATAGCTCATTTTGAACTTTAACCTTTGATAATTGTTGCTGTTGTTTCCCTAAAAAAAACAAGAAGTATGCCGTTATACTCAGCTCAATCAATGTCTATCGATCCCAATATTTTGTTTTCTAATTTGAGATTTGGAGCCAAACTGCATTTGTTCCCAATTTTTTGTGGCAACACTGTTGCATACAAAAATAATTCGTGTTTGTTTGAGAATGCTATGGTGATCCAATTAAGGCACACATGAATATCAGCATTGGAAATTAGAATATGTTTTGGATCTCCACTTGACCTCCAACCTAAATGTTTATTGGGCAATAAAATTAGCACAAGATTACCAGGAGCAAGGTCAGCCACAAAGGAGTCAACCAAAGAACTTCAGATTTTACCACGTCTGCAGCTGCCTTATACCGATCTCCAGTCTAATTGCAGCGAATCTTAAGTAGATTCTACATACAATTTTCTGTGAATTACTTTTAAAATAACTGGCGTTTCTTTATTAATAATGCGTTCATGTGTACATATGCTTGTATTTTGTACTATATATGTACATAGGTATGAATATATACTTGAGCTTTAGATATTATATAGATCCATATGAATGTACATAATTAGGAAATAAGCGTGCCAGACTTGAAGCGAACTTGCAAGTATGGCTCACAATAAAGACGACGGTGGGATCATAAAAGAATTGTGGATTTCTTCTGTCAATAAAACCTTGTAGCGGTCACAACTTGCTGTCTAAGATCAAACTAAGCTCCAATATTTGCGAATAGGCCAAATAGTCAAATATAATCAAATCCCTTATGGAAGGAAATAATGATATATCGCGTGTATATATGTAAGTACATATATTGGTCTACGTTTGTCTTAACTGCGGCGCGACGTCAACGAAAACTGGCATACAAACACACTGTGCTCACATATCTATATAAAAACATGCATACATGTGTACATATTCGTATGCACACTCCATCGGAAAGGCGTAGTAAGGCGACGAAGACGGAGCTGAAGAAAATGTGAAAATGGGGGAAAAGATTTACCAATTACCGATTATATGTACATATTTTTCCGCATTTCTGTTCGAAAAATTCACTTTAATCACTACACAAATCGTTGTAAAACACTTAGTAATTAAATTATTATGTTTCCAACGTCTTCAAATTATAGAATAAGCAAATAAATTGTAAATACTGAACTTAAACGAAATTATTAATGAAAAATGCAGAGCGCAACGCGAAACACACAATGGATGGACAAACAACGATGAAGCAACGAACCAAACGAATGACAGCAAAGAGGACAGTCATTCGAGCGTACAAACGAACGAAGCAAGCGCTTGCAGAGAACTTAGTAGAGGTGATGGAACTGTGGGTGCAATTGAAACCATTTCTGCCTTTTTTTAATTTGAAAGTACATTCGGTAAATTTTCAAGCCATTCTCTCATATTTTACAGATATATACAAAATACAACGCATCGTTAATTAACTTGCACTATACAGACGGCGTTTAAGGTATCATTTAT